AGTTTTTAATCCCGCAAGGGGTTTTTACCATCAACTATTTTCCTGTATTATTTACTTTTCTGCAATTTATTATACTACGACAATTCAACATAGGATAGTGTGCATGTAAATTCATCTTGATAAATTAATAACTGTGACTTGTTGCAATTATTAATTAAATAGGTTAAATTTCGCATAATCACCAATTCAGCCCCCTCTAAGTATTAGTTGGGTCAAACTGTATTATTTTCAAATCCAAAGCATACAAAGTGAAAATATGTCAAAGCTATGCAGCAATAGTTTGAAGGGTCTAGTTATTTGGTGATACAGTAACGGATTTTTGTATGTGAATGAAAATAACCAATCAACAGATCACATTGCTATGTTCTAAATTATCATTGCATAATCATGTGTCTATTGCGATTGTCATCACACCAGTGTCTGCAAATATTATCCCATTACATAATTGAATGCAAATTATTACTCTATCAATCCAATTCGGAGCAATCAAGAGCTACTTTAATTTTTTGAACTGTGGAACTTATAAGAGAGTCCACAGTGGCCACTGACTCCATTATTTGTTGCTCTGAAAGTGTATTACCACCCAATAGTATGTGAAAAGCCGCTGTCAAGAGTGAACCACTGGTGTTACTCGGGTTTGAGCTGCTTGACTCTCCAATTTCATTATGATCAAGGTGGCCATCGCTTGAGATTATATATCCAGATGGAAGAATAGGAGTTATCGTAGTATCTTCACCATTAACAGCTGAGGTGATGGATTGTAACTCCATTGGGGCATAGATTATAATTGCTCCTAGGGATTCATTAATGCTACTCTCTTGGAGTATCAGCATGTTCTTCTCATTGGGTACATATGGCTGCATCAATTACAAATACCATTGAGGTAAGAAAACCATCGGTACACAATTAAGGACACTGGAGAAGGTCATAAATTAAGCAACAAATATTAAAATGCTTTATAGCGCCATATATAGTGAAGTAGAAAGGAAGTAACCTTGATGACAGAGAGACAATTTCCAGAATGTGTTCCAGTCGAGATGTGTGCAACCTCATTAACAGGACTTCCATTGGATAAAACATCCCACTGCAAGTGAAAATCGATTTTTCTCTGAAATTTCTATACTCGTTTTAAACAGTTTTAAGCAAACTGACAATCTTATTCAAGTATTACGAAAAATGATTATAATGTATACCTCAGCTCTCTTTTTATCATCTTTGAAGAAGTTAAAGAGATTCTCTGGTGAAAGGGGAAGCCATAGAGAGGTGGCTGCACTGACGATCAAGCCTTTTGGTTGGCCTAGGCCATTGCTTTGTCTAAGCGAGACCCGAACTCCACTATTATTCAATTCTGAAACGTGGGAAAAAGCTAGATTGTTCGACATGCTCAACATTTCAAAAAAATCCTTGATCATTCTGTGAGAAAGTTTCATTAAATTTCTCTGGCCTTCGACTGAGTAAGCCACTAGAAAAAAAAAATGATCACAATCATTTTTCTCTCAAATTTGGTACAATAGAATATCATTGCACTACTGAAGGATAGACTACGGAACAGGAGTGAACCTATACCTTCTTCAAGTTCATGTCTAGGTATATTAGTTAGCTCCATTGAGAATGCGAATCTCTCGCACATCCATTGTAAACTAGCAATCCACCTCTTGGCTCCATATGCCTGACAGCTACATATTAGGTCTCTATAGAGACGATGAATTAAGAATTTATCATAGACCTGAACATGTTCGATCCATGTAACCTATTATACAAAATAAATAAAATTTGTAAATGGAGAATACAATCGAGTGCATGCACAACTTGTGATATCAATTTTAAGAAATCATTAATACTGTCAAATATAGCACATGAGTCAATAGCTCGGTGTAAATAGCCATATATTGATCTAACAAGAATTTATAAAGCAATGTTGTAGTTAAAAGTAGAAATTAGTTAAACAGACATAACCTTGGGACACTAATTAACATATAGGGTTATAAAATTAATGGCTTGCTTATCTTCTTATTTCATGGATCTTACGTGCCACGAGGCGCGTGAGGATTGTGAAATTTTCACTCCCGAAATATTCCATAATCTTCCTTAAATTGACTTGCCACATTGTAAAGGCTACGTGAAAAGGCTCTCTTGATGAAAAACCTTTTTTTTTT